ATGGGTCTGTTTTCTCAGCCTGCTCTTTGGAGATTATTCTCTTTCATAAAGAAAAAAAGAAAGGTCATCAAAGAGACAAGGTGATAGAAGAGCCCTGGCTGTCGTCAGGTGACCTCTGACACTGACCCACTATAGGAGGTTGAAGCAGACACTTGACCTGTCTCTGTGGCAGGCCCTAGCCGTCCTCTGCTAAGGGCTGTCATCAATACCTAGTTGGAAGTTGTTGAGTAAGTGAGATGCTTTTTTGTTCTTGTACCATGAAGCCAAGTTATTCCCGCTTTCCGTGCACAGGAAACCTCAGTGGAGAGTCCGGAGTCCTGCAAACGCCTGCTCAGGCAAGCCGTGTCCTCAGATCCAACTGCTCACCTCTGTTTTCGCAGCTCCGGCAGGGATCACTGCCTCTGTCTGTGTGAATGCACTGTTTGTTTCCCTTCTTCTCTTTCTGTTTGCTCTTGGAAAGGCCCGTTAGTGTTGAATGACATGACTAAACAGCAAAGGGGAGAACAGGTGATGTGCTAATAATTCTTAAGTAAATACTATTTGTTATTGTCACCTCTGAGCCTTCCAGAGAGGTGGCACCATCCCTGGTCCTGGACCTACTCCCCTTTGGCTCTGTCTTTCACCCACCTGGAAAGGCAGGTTTGGAGAGAGAGAGAGAGAGAGAGAGAGAGAGAGAGAGAGAGAGAGAGAGAGAGAGAGAGTCTTGGAAGGGTTGGTGAGAAAGGAAGGAAGAGGATGGTAAAGAAACAGGGTCACCGAGAGAGTCACAGAGAGCAAGCAAGAGAAGGGCAGGGACACGTGTGCCTGCTCACGTACACACAGTAGAGCAGAGAAGCAACAACAGCTGATGATTAAGGGGAGAGTTTCCCAGGGTTCATCTCAGAGGCCTCTTCTCAAGCTCTGGAACTCCACAGGCATCGTGTCCAAGTGGCTCTAACTCATACCCTCTAGCTCCGTGTTTGCTCTTTTCAGCATTTAGGATGTGTGACCTTCCTGACTTGCTGTGCGGTAGAGGAGACGATAAATTGACTGTGACTAAGCAAGGTTTTACTACATCAGCATTAAAGTGGAGCATCCTTATGTTGGGGATGGAAGGAATGTGGCAGGGCCAAGAAGATTTGCGTTTGACTGGAAGGATTGATGTCTGGTAAAAGAAAGGGAAGATGGACTCCTCTCCTAGTTAGAGTAAAGACCAGAGAGTCCTATCAAAATAAGGTCCATCACTCACTTGCCCAACAGACACTGATGGAGTCTGGTGCATATCTTAGGTGCACATCCTTGCTCTGGGAATGTGTTGGCATCAGGTCTCTTCTCCCTAGTGACTCATGACCTAGCAATTAAAGTAAACATTTTAAATATAAAATAATGAACTGAAAATAGACTGAGCAGGTTTAACTTATGTATTTAGGAATATACACACACACATCTGTTTCTGTGCTTTCTATTTGTCTTATAGATTCACAATTTATATCAACATGATAATGACTGAGAAGTTCTATAGCATACAGCTCTGGATAACATTATTTAACTTAGAAATTCTAATATATTTAATAAAATGGTCCTTTGTACTTGTGTGTGTGTGCATACGTGCATGCGTATGTAACATTAGCATCTTGAAAAACTAGAGGAACAGGGTGAGGGCTTGGACTTTGATAGCAAACAATGCCAGTCTCATTACTAGCGCAAGACTTTAAGAAAGTCAGTTAACCTTTCTCATCATTTAATTAAGTTTCTTGCCAAACTTATTAATATATCACCAGGTTACATGTATGTGTAAATATATATATATATATGTATGTATGTATATGTATATTATATATATTTGAGGGACAGCAAGATGAGTGCATGGGAGAGGTTGGAGGGCAGAAAGGGAAGGGAGGAAATAATTGTAATTTTAAAAAGCAAAAAATTAATATAAGAAAGAAAATGAAATGGCAGATATTATTTTTTTTGAAAACATAAAATATAAAAAACCTAAAAAAGGTGACTTGGGGTCACCAACTCCAGCCAGACAGGGAAGGAAGCAGCATAGGTCCAAACTAGTCCCTCTGAATATGGGTGACAGATGTATGACAGAATGAAGGGCCGCTGGCAGTGGCACCAAGATCTATCCCTACTACTTGTACTGGCTTTTTGGAACCCATTCTCTTTGGATGGATACCTTGTTCAGCCTAGATATAGTAGGGAGGACCTTGGACCTTCCTCAAAGCAATGTACCTTACCATCTCTGAGGAGTGGATGGCGGGGGGGGGGGGTGCGGGGAGGTAGGGGAGGTAAAATGGGGGGGGGAGGGAATGGGAGGAAGGGAGGGAGTGGGAACTGGGATTAGTATGCAAATGAAAAAAAGATAGTTTGTTTTCTTTGTTTAAAAAATGAAATTAAAAAATTTTAGTTTTTTTTTTTTAAAGAAGGTGACATGGGGTGGGCAGGCTGCTGCAGCAGGCACACTGACAAGGTGGCTCTCTGGAGCGAGACCTTAAAGGAGCCAGTGACATCAGGGTTGAAAGAAAAGAGCATTGCGTGGACAGGGAGGCCTTCGGGCAAAAGTTGATTGTGACCTTCAGCATTGTCAGTACCTTAATGCGAACAGAGAACAGACTGTGATCAGCACAGATGAGATCTAACTTCTGAGCGGCAACATAGCTAGGTAGGCCACAGAAGGTTGTTCTCTAAAGGAAGAAAGACAATGGCTTTGGTGCCATTTTTAGTACGTAGTGTGTAGGGCAGCCATTCATATATGGGGATCTTTCATTCCTGCTCCTGTAATGACCACCTCCTTTCATTGTTGGCATATAGAACCAGAAGGCCACAGACTCAAGCTATCCGTATTGATAACCGCAGGGTAGTTGTGGGCTTTGGAAATAATCGAATCCTCCCGCTCCATGCAGCAACAAACTGGCAACATCAAACTTGTTTGTTCTTGACAATATTGTCATCATTCCAGCAAACGCAAGGACAATTAATTCAGTCTTTTTTTGTTGTTGTTGTTCTCTACGTTTCAAAGTCACCTCTGGTTCTTAAGGCTATGGGATCCTGTTTCTCGGTGATTACCTTGGCTCATTGTTCCTTCCATCTCAGCTCCTCGTGTGATAAACAAACTCTTCTCCAGCACTCACTGTGCCCACAGCCTGTCTGTCCCATGCAGGAACCACCAGCCATCTGTGGCCATTCAGCACGTGACAGGTGGACAATGGAAGAAATCAAATGTTTAATTTATCAAATTGTAGCTAGTGCAAGTAATTTTAGATAGATAGTTTCAACGAGTTAAAGGTTTCTGCTTTCGTTTTTGGTTTCTGATCATGGGGAAAGTCCTGAAATGCGTTCACACAAATAAGCAGGTCAGTTAGTGAGAAATTCTTATGAAAAGAATGGAACATTCTTAAAGTTTGCTGAATTAGCATGCTGAAATATATTAGCATAGTTATTTGGCCAGGTCATGAAAAAGACATCTCATCCATATCTCAGAAGTCATCTCTAAAAATCATTATTTCATTAAGTGTTCAAAAGTAAATGATGAGGTCGTCTTTGATGGAAATGCTCCATCCCTAAGAAACTTGGGAAATGGCTGTGGTTTCTGTTTCTCTTGTGGACCAACAGTGTACATCAACATAATACAGACTCCAAGAGTTTTCCTCTGGAAAACAAGATTTAAAATAGAAATCCCAGCATACTAAAGAAAGGGTCCTATGTGCACATCAATATTTGTGTGTGTGTGTGTGTGTGTGTGTGTGTGCGCGCGCACATAAGACTTTAGCATCTTGAGAAACTAGAGAAGCGGGGTGAGGGCTTGGACTTTGATAGCAAACAATGCCAGACTCGTTACTAGCTCGTGACTTGAAGAAAGTCAGTTTACCTTTCTCACTACTTTGCCCAATAAAACTAACTAATATATCACCAGCTTGCATGAGGATGAAATATGAGGAGCAAGAGCCTATCACAGGTCTCCATACCTGGTGAATTTCCCCTATTATTTTCATTACACCTGGGTGGGGTTAGGTGGCTGAGTGGTAGGCTGTGGGTCAAGAGAGGAAGGTGCCATAGCCAGAGTTTGGTTATTGAAAACATTCATGAGCACTGTATTGGAAGCCAGAATGAAAGAGGAATCTATGCTGCATCCCACCACTGTGTGGGTACGCCTGCACCAAATGCCTTTCTACGGTTCATTCTCGGCACAACCACCATCTGAGCTGGAGTTGAAGCATGTTGTCCTTTGAGTCCCCTACCATGCAAAGCAAAGAGCAGGCCCTTCGCGTGTGCCTGTGCACTGTCTGCTCTGGTCTGCCCTGGCCATGCTTCTCTTCCATCAGGCCAACCACTGTGAGTCTGTTTCTACAAGCTGACTTCTTTGCTGTTCGTTAGGTATGATGGTAACACGCCCACCTCTGAGCTTTGCATGTGCTGTCCGTTTGATATAGCATGCTCGTCCAGTTACCTAAGCCTCCCTCTCTTAGGACCATCAGTCCTTTCCGGAAATGCTTTCTTCCTAAATCTCCCTAAACCCCACCTGCTCTCGTCCTCACCAATCGTTCTCCTTGCTCCACATATCTGATGTGCTATGCTTGATTTTCTTATTTGTTTCCATCTGACAGGACATAAGCTGCATTAGAATTGAGTATCTTTGTCTGTACCATGCTCACATCTGGCACATAAGAGAGAAATGTCAACAAGTGGGAACTGGAAAGAGGGCTCAGCAGTTACGAATGCTTGATCCTTCTGTAGAGTCCCTGGGTTTGGCTCCTAGCACCCAACTCGGACTGCTCACAACCACCTATAATTACAGTCCCTTGAGACGTAACATCTTCTGGTTCCCAAGGACACCTGCACACACATGGTGTACAGACAAACAGGCACACACACACATATGCACAAATTTAATAAATCTAAACAAACAAACACACAAAAACCACTGACTAGTAACAGAAGCTGAAGCTGTGCATATTCTGTCCCCGTATTTAGTTTGCAGCATGGTTTATCCCAAGGAAGGAAACACATCTCCAGCATGTCTCTGTGGATTTTATTAGTGTTTTCTGGGACCCATCAAACAAACAAATAAAAACATATTATTGAAAAATAGAATTCTTTCATTAAACAGAAATTTCTTGGATTTAACAGTTTAAGGGGGAAAGGTTCTGCTTAAAAAAAACAAAAAACAAAAAAGCCGAACAGTGGCAGTAGGGTTGTTGCCCACCAATTACCAACCCAGACGCCAGATGGCAAGAATAAAATTTATAGCTACAGAATGATTAACCCCAATTCAACTAAACTCTGAAGTCTACATGTTTCAAAAGCTTGTGAGACACAGTTCCAAGGAATTTGGCTTTCTTAATGGCCTCCTTTATTCTAGAAGTGAATCTTGAGCCTCCCAGCTGAGGACAATTCACCTGTGACCCTAAGGTTGCCAGGACGGTGCTCCAGTCTCATGGACAGTATTCCTCCATCAGTCCAGATCAGGAGTCTCCCACCACCTACGTCCTCACGTGCACTCCTCACATACGGGATGCTCCACAATACACAGGGCACCGAACAGGTGCTTTGTTTAAACTACAGAAGAATAATGCAGTTTCTCCTCCATCTTACTAATCTCTCTTTTCTTATATTTTATACATTTAAAAAAAATGACACACTTGCAAAACTAACATCTAATGTGCATGGCTAACCTTATCAAAATATTCCTCAGCGTTTTTCGAAAAGGAAAAAAAAATAAAAACCAACCCCTAAATACTAAAACTGAGAACGGTTTTATGCTTAAATAGCAACTGACATCATATAAACACATTTATAATCTTCATTGGTTAAATAGGTCAAGGGTTCATTGCTGGCATCTTGTAACCAGCTTAAGTCTCACAGCTCTGGATAAGGAGTAGAATTGCCATCCAGCAGACACTGGTGTGTGGAACCAAGCAGCCTGTTTGAATGTCTTTTCAGCACAGGCAGGAGGCAGAGGAGAGCGTCACAGTAAACCAGTCACCACACAGGACGTGTCTTTGGAGGTCTGGAAGCGATTCACATCCCGGTTAGGAACATGACTGATGCCTGCCCAGTCAGAGGAATCTCCCCGAAGGTGGTTGCCAATCGCTCAGTGAATAGTTATCCAGGTAAGGCATCCCAGGTAAGAAGAGAACAAAAGTGGTCAGACTTGGTCCCTGCCCTCAGAGGGCTTACAGTCCAGCCCGACAGGAACTTGAAGAAAGGCTCTGTGTGTGAATCTCGTAGGCGTGGGTTTGTCCTGCTCAGGTAGCATGCTGAAGAAGCTGGGGTCCAGGGCCTTGCTTAATTTTATTAAATCATATAGGAGCCTCCGATGATCTGAGTCATTTGAAGTATTAATGTTCCATTACTTGACTTAGGTTCCCATGGAAACCACTAATAGGACACTTAGGCATATTCATGGAGACTCTATTAGGTAAGCCTTTAGCCAATTAATCACAGATGAACTTATCAATTAAGTGACTATTCCTTAAAGAAAGAGGGGCTTCTCTGTAGGGCTTTCTTGTTTCTTTCTAACTGTGGTGGGGAGCACTCGGCTACACCCCAAATTGGCATAGCTTCATTACCTGGAGTTCTCCAAGTCGTGAACAGCACACAGAAAACACAGCAGAGCCAAGAAAGTCGATATGAGAGCACTCAATGCTGCAGCCTTTTTGAGTGGGCACTGGGTGCCAAGAAACCGTCACTCTCGGCAAACAGCACAATCTATTTATCTGCAGAACTGTTCCCACCGGTCCTCTCCAGACTCTCCTGACAAGGATAGCTCTGTGGTGAAGAAGCTGTAGAAAGAGCCAAAGCCAGTTACAGGAATCCGAGAAACTCACAGGCTTGTGGAAAGTGAACCCAGAGAATGGCTTCATCACCCTAGACCAAAGCAGGAGGAAACTATGCAAGGAACAGCAGAGAGAAAACAGGCAGATGCGGCTAGTACCATCACCTCACATACACACTCACACAAGCACACAGGCACTTGAGCACACACACACACACAGAGGCGCACAGCCCACACACACATAAGCACACAGGCATGTGCGTACCCACATACGTGCGTACACACACACACACACATTGAGAGAGAGAGAGACACCCATAGAATCTTTCCTCAGTATTTCCCTCTGCAGTATAAGCTTCTCTCTGCATTCCCAGCGCAAACATTTCCTCTTGTACTTCCTGATAGGTCACTGCATTTATCTGACTTTGGTTCTCATGTGGTGTTCTGAAAAGAATCTCCTCCATCTCTCACATCCTGTTGTCCCTATTATTTAAAAAAATAAAAATATATTGACATCAAGGTCTTGCTTCATCTTCACTCTAGGGACTGGAAGGTTCTATAAATCTCTTTGTCCTGAATGACTACCTTTATATTGACTGGTTCATTTGGTGTTCTCACTCAAGGGTACTTTTATCCTCCTGGAGACACTTGACAATTTCTAGGAATACTTGGATTGTCACAGGAATGAAATACCGATGGAGGTCATAGATGTTGCTACACATTTTACAACACACAGTACAACCCCCACCACAAAGAATGGACAAGCCCCAAACGTCAACTGTTCCCAGGGAGAAACCTTAAGTTACAGAAACAAGAGCATGCTCATCCATCATTCCCATAGCACCACCTCCCTTTCTTGATTATTTTTCAGTAAGTTGGGCTGAATTCTACACAGCTAGAGGTAAGTACATGTGGCCAATGACTTCTTAACCATCCAAGGGTAAAGGGAATACAGGAAAATCATCCATGAATGAAAGTAAAGCCTCCCGCACCATCATTCAGCATTCCCGGGCATGTAATCATGCAGTGATCACAGGCTACTCTGGCTTATGGAAGCTCCCCCTCTCTACTCACTAAGTCAAGTTAAATTTCCCAGCATCCTTTGGGTTGATCCCATCAATCTGAGACCCTGAACTTTGTCCTACTGATGAATCCCATTTCTCTTGAGGAGGTCACGTGGACGCTTCTGTGTAGAGAACACATCAACTTCTTTCTTCTAAATCATTTTGTAAATTCAAATATTTAATGCCCTCGTATTTCTTTTCCCTTCCTCTTAGCAAGAAGCACAAGGCTACAGGCCCTGTTGTTCTTGGGGGAAGAAAAGAACATCACAACAGAGACAACAGCAAATCACAACCACATACAGTTTCAGAGTTCACAGAAAACTGTGTACATTGGCTCCCCACATAGGACATACTTCAACGTAACAAAATAATTGCTTTCGTCAACTGTAGTGTTCGTTCTTCCCATAAGAAGTAGATGTTTTTTGTCCCTTCATGGTACATAAATATCACTGAACAGCAGTCTTTTGAAATATTTACGTCCAGTTCTTCATCGATCATAACCCATTTGCTGTGTGTTTTTGGTTTGTGTCCCAAGGGTCGGCAGCCTCAGTTCTCATTTTCTCTCCACCCACGAGCGTTCTTCCCGAATTTATAGACCAGCCGTCGTCCGTCCACGCGCTCCAGAATCTCTCGCTTGTAGTAGTATCTGTAAGAAGGAGATGAGTTAGGCGGCCGTTCAGCCTGAGCACGGCAGGGAGTGCCTGCTCCTGTGGCCTTGCCCTTCATGAACATGAAGTTGCTCACCTCATGGCCCGGCTGAGCTTCTCGTAGGTCATGCTGCTGTTGTTCTTCTTCTTCCCCCACAGCTGGGCCACAGCCTCTGACTTCAGGAACCTGAAGATGCCTTCGGAACGGTCTTCCCATTTGATCAGTCCTGGATTCTTGTCTGGGCTCAGCAGAATGTCCCGAATGAACTCCCATAAGTGAGTCCCTCTTGGGTCTGATGAAAAGCAAGACACATTGACTTACTAATGGCCCGAATCAGAGAACAGGAGGGAGAGAGAATGAGGAGTTACAGCTTCTTCCTTGAGATACAGAATCACCAAATGGTCACTGTAGAATGAACAGCTCATCTAGCCAAGGTGTGGGGGATTTCAGTGGTTTAATCAATGTGGTACAATTGTCGACTGCCAAAGCCAGGAATAGAGAATGTGGTGTTAACTATGTAATCCAGGCCGAGTTCCTTCTACTGTTCACCAATGGCCTGGGCTTCGTTCCAGACAGCAATCCTTGGTCACTTATCTAATACGACACTTGTTTTAGTTACTCCAACCCTACAGCTGTGCTCCAGCCATGACATCAGTAGAGCACTGGAGTCTTAACTCCAGAAGCATGTTGGGCCAGGGGAGGGGGTAGCAAACAGGGGTTGGAGGAACCAACTTAAAAGCTAGGTAGCTCTTGAATATGACTTTACTTCCAGGAGTTGGCACATCAGAGCCCCTTCCCCTTGCAACTCAAGAGACTGAATGAATTTACCTGTATGGGATGGGCTGGTGGGGCAGATGGTAAAGACACCCCAAGTCTCTGTCATTTCTAGGTTGTACAGTTTTGACAGTTCTCTGTGCCCCCTCTAGACGATGTCTCTGAAAGTCTATATGAGTTCACAAGGTTTTCTCCCTGGGGAAATCTGACTTCCAGAGAGCAGAGTTGAGTCTTCAGAACAGTCATTTTTTGGGACAAGACCTCCCCCCCAGAAAGAGCGATGTGTGCCAGCTACTCCTATCCATCTCCCTCCTTGCCTTATCCTGTTTTCCTCTAGACATATAACCTATGCCCACAAGTTCTTATCCACTTAGTATCCTAGTTCTAGAGAAATTAAGATGAGGGAGAAATCCCCAAGAGGCCCGGCTTTCAGAAACAGTCAACAGGGAGTCACCTTGATAGAAAACAAGTCCCCTTTAGAGGCAAAGGAGTGGAGACAGAGGCAATACTGCCAGGCAACTTACTGTGCTTTTTGGTGTGGGACTTTACGGGGTGGTCTGGTTCCTTTTTCATATCAGGTGACTCTGCTAAGGGAAAAGTGAGAGCCCTTCAGTTTACACACCTCAGGCAAGTATCATTCTCACGACACACTTGGTCACTATCCACAGACTACCCCCTGCATGTCAGCCTTGTCCAGCTGTATGGATACACTGTGGGGAAAAATACTGCAGGGTAGAAATGGGGGGTCGAGGTAGGGAAGTGGGACTTGTTTGCAACTTAATGTAAGAGAGACACAGAAGACTTCTGTGATAAAGGGACCCACGGGATATGGGGGAGGTGGCCACTCAGATTACCCGTGGACAAACTTTCCAGATATAAAGACAGTAAGTGCAAACTGCCTCAGGTCACCGTGCATGAAATGTTTACACAGCACAGAAAGAAGCCAGTGCGGATGTGAAGAAGGGGCAGAGGGCTGGAAAGTGAAGGTCTGATCATTAACGCCTTACAGAAATTTTTGAAAGGACTTTGTTCTGCTTCATTCTGAGAGAGAAGGTAAACCGTGGAAAGATTTAGGTCATCCAAAGGATGTTTTTATAACATAATAAAAAAATGTAAACACTCATAACAAAGAAGGACAACGTCTAAGGCAGAGGAGTGCCATTTTTGGCATGCAAAGTTACATTTTAATCACCTTGACAAAGGGACCATTGAGTGTCCTGAACTCAGCACACAGGGCCACAGTGGACTATGGAAACACAGATTAGCTTAACAAATGACTCTTTATGGTAACCCTTTCATTGTCTCCAGAGAGGAAAAGACAGAGGCAGATCTATGATGTGAAAATTCTCCTAAAACCTAAACCACTGATGTTCTCAGGTATCTATGACAGATTGACGAGCTTAATCCCAGCCAAAGTGCCTGATGGAGGCAAGAGATCAAGCGGGGACACAAGGAACAGCAGGGGATTGGATGGCATGCCATGACAGCAGCTGCCCTGGAGGAACAAGGTCAATTTTCTGCTAGGTGGTAGGATGGAAATACAATGCCTGGGGTTTATCACACAGATGACAAAGAACTAGAACCAACAAGTCCCAAGGCTCCCAGCACCAAGATGGTGAACATTTAAGAGGTGGGAATACTAGTTAGCTATCAAGCCTGATTTGATGATCACATATTATAGAAAGCTACCAAACTGCCACAGCATGGCTCATGAATATAATGTTATTGTGGATTAATTTTTTTAAAAAAGAAGGGACTGGAGAGATGGCTCAGCAGTTTAAAGTACTTGTTGAGCTTGCAGAGGATTTGAATTTGATTCCCAGTACCTACATGGTGGTTCACAACTATCTGCAATTCCAGTTCTAGGGGATCTGATGCCCTCTTATGATTGCCACAGTCACCAGGCACGCCCATGGCACACATACATATGTGCAGGCAAAACCCGCATGTGCATAAATAAAACTGTTAAAGAAAAAGAAATCTAACAACTTAGTGCCCCCCAGGTGTGTGTGTGTGTGTGTGTGTGTGTGTGTGTGTGTGTGTGTGTGTTTGTCCATATCTCTGTCTGTGTGTGTCTGTGTTTGTACATGTCCAAGGGTACTTCAGGTGTTGGGCGGACCATTGATGATCTCAATAATCAATAGCTAGCCAATTCTGATACAAAATGTTTCTAAATACAGGTCAATTCTTAAAATAAATTAAACAAAACATGTCTCTTCTTGTGACATTATAGCAGAACTTCCTAACATAGGGATCCGTGGTAAGGTCTTTGAGAACATTCTAGACTCATTAACACTGTGCTCGGGGAGGGGTCCAGGCACGCATCTCAGAGAGCAGGCAACTGTTCAAAAGAGCTTATGAGCCACAAAAGTTAAAGGGACTAAGCAAAATGGGGCTATGGCTCAGGGTTAGAGCACTCGTACCAAGAAGGCACTACCAACAGTAAAATGATAAGAAAAAATAAAATACTTAAGAAAAATAACTACTGTTTATTGAGTTCTTGCCATGTGCCAGGCACAATACTAAGCATTTTCCTTGGCTTCTCTTATGTCATTCAGACAATAATAATTTAAGGTAGGTACTACTATATAACCCATACAAAAACCCTAAAACCCTATAAGGTTGGGTTTGTGTCTATGGAGGATCCGAGAAACAGCCTGACAGTAGAGCCTGGCTGTAAATATCAATAGTTGGATCGCAGAAGCTTTGCTCATAACACTTTCCTAAAAGGAGGCTCTTTGGTCACACAACACACTTCTCAGATGTCTTTCTAAGAGGCCATCCACTTCCACAGTATCTCCACAAAAACAAAGACAAAAGAATAAAATCTTTTTTATACTTCCCAATGTGTTGGTCCATCCACCTATCTATCCATCCACCCATCCACCCATCCATCCATCTATCCATCCATCCATCCCTCAGCTTCTCACACATCCACATTCCCAACAGTTTCTCCAAAAACCATGGTGTGATGAGAAGAGGGATTACATGAAAGAGAAAGTCCTCATTCTAAGTAAGAATTTCTCTCCTGGCATTGATGCCAGCAGGGCCTGGACTTCTGTGGCTTTCTCTGAAATCCAAAAGGACCAATACAAGGAATTGGGAAGGACACCTCTCTTGGCCCCCTGCAGTTTCACAGGCCAGGGTTGCAACACCCCAACAGGACATGATGACATTGAGACAGGTCTGGCACCCACCCCGGTTTCCCAGTGATACATCACCCTGACAGGGCCACGTTGTTCTGGAGACAAAGAATGGCATTTACCCAGCAGGCCACAAGCAAAGCTCATTTTCCAATGAGACCCAGGAGGAAGCAGGGCCAGGATTTCAGAGCCAGGGATAGCTTCAGAAAAACACAAGAGCTTCTTGGCACACTGGCCTTATTCTTCATGGGGGCTTCAGCCTGACGTAGAATCAAGTACTTTGGGGTTATGTTATCTTTGGGAATTGGATGAACGCCTAAATATTCTCCCCCAGAAAATACAAGTGTGTTACACTAATGAAATTTGGTCAGTCATTTCAGGGATCCCTGGCTCACTTAGGGAGCTCATGGACTCTAGATTAAAAGACTACATTAATTCTCTTTGAGATGACAGCCTTTTCCTCAAGCTGGAACACACACACACACACACACACACACACAGAGAGAGAGAGAGAGAGAGAGAGAGAGAGAGAGAGAGAGAGAGAGAGAGAGAGAGTCAGAGTCTAGATGTTCCCAACTTCACATGGGAGAATAAGTAATCCAGGACAAAAAGATGAATGTTTCTTCCAGACATTCTTCTCCTGCCAGTGTACAGAGGAAGTCACAAAAACCCTACCAGTCTTAGCTCTCAAGCCTTTTGATCTATGAGCTCATTTAATACAACTGCCTCCCTCCCGCCCCCTTGTACTCCCCATTGCCACAAAACAAAAGCCAGACCTTTGAAGTGAGCCCTGTGGTCAAGTGATTCATTTGTACGAAAGAATGGCTAGCTCTACAGAGGTTGTCCAGCCTGTGTCTCTCTTGTTTCTCTCTCAGACACTTGGGGTCATGGTGCCCGTGGGGTCCCAGCAGAAGCAGCGACAAGACCCGAGTTCGCAGTATAAATGGGAGCCTATGCTTTCAGCCTAGCTGCTTCACAAGAAGGCAGAGATTAGACGTATTTGCATATGAGTCAGCCGTGAGCCATTTCTTTACGGGATATACAAATTTTAGTGTTCTAATAGACTGTGCCACCCTAGCTTGAGGCTCAGTAAGTCAGTAGATAAACACATCAAGCCCGGGATGGCATGACTGGTTTTGGCACTCTCGAGCAGATCAGAATACTGGTGGCAACCATTTTATGAAATGGGCAGAAGGGGGAAAAAAATCCAAACAAAGCTGGCTTCCCCGCCTGTGCTATCGAGGAGACCATCATTTGACACAGAGCCTCGCCTTAGCTTAGCTGAAACTTGCATGAAAACATAGAAAGATGTTGAACTGCTCGCTATTTTATAGGACCTTGAAATAACAAGGCTAGGGCAGGTGGCAGAGGTCTTTGGGGGCATTCTGGCCCCATCCACTAGACACTAAACTATTCTGGAAGGAATCGACACATATATGGTTGCAATCAATGTCCCTACCAGACCTAAAATCCAAAGAATCCACCAATGGCAGACACCGAGTTTTGTTGTTGTTGTTTTAAGATGGAAAGCTTGGATTATACATCTCATTTTCAAGCCTGTCACTACGACAGGAGGATAATGGAGAAGAGGAGTGTGGGGATCGGGGTGAAGAGGTGAGGGAGACAGACAGATTCATGAAGCTCATTTTAAGGGCCATCTAAAAGCACAGTTGGTGGTCGCAGGAGACAGCAGCTCCCTGGTGTTACAGCGCAGGTATGGGCTGCCTAGAGCCCCTGCTGTTCTGCGTTCTAGAAGATGTGAGACTCAGAAAGGCGCAGGCAGACGTGGATGTGAGGTAATAGGGTTGTGACTTCCTGGAGTTTGAGGGGAGCAGTTGGTTCAACTTTATCCTTAGTGGAAACCTTTCACCTCCTCAAAGACCCGACAGGAAAGAATGGAAGGTGACACCACAGGAAGTGACACCACAGGAAGTTGGAGTGGAAATTAATGGGTGACTTGGGTGCTTTCTTCAGCCCTGAAGCTGGTAGTCTTCTCTAGATGGCAACAGTTGCCACAGAAAATTCCCCAGATGGCCTGTTCCTCTATAGTGGCAGATACCCTACTTTTCTGGCATTGGTCTTGCTTCCTGATTTAAACAAATCCCTTGGAAGGATACACACTAAAGGCTTGGGGGAGGGGGCTGCCTTCAGATCTCAACTACAATACCATAGGTGCTTAAACTAGCTCCCAGCTCTCTCCTTCATAGACCCAAAGAGGTCCAGAAACAACCAAGTCAAGGAACGACATGAAATCTTTTGTTTAGCTAATTCTTATAGTACACAGATAAATGTACCTAATGTCTGAAAGCCCCTTCCCAGGTCTAACCCCCAATGTGCCATCATGGCTATAACCTTTGACAAAGCATCATGCATGGATAGCCCCTAGCAGTATCCAATCAAGGCAATACACCCGATAAGAACATAACTGACACAGGGCAGATGCTCTGGCTGCAGAACACTGAAGAGCCATCAAGGTTAGTCTGGGGTCGGGGAGGGGGATGCTGGGATGTATGTTTGGGATGCAATTGAAAACTAATTCTAGCCTTCTCACCAGTAAATACAAATAATTTCACCAGGTTTAACTCCAAAGCAAATTTGTGTTAAAATAGAGAAAGAGAGAGAGGGAGGGAGAGAGAGAGAGAGAGAGAGAAAGGAAGGAAGGAAGGAAGGAAGAAAGGAAAGAAAGAAAGAAAAACTCAAGGAACTTTGATTGTTTTGTTGTCTCGAGGGAGTGGCTAGTTACAGAGTGCATAGGTGAATACTTCTGGAGGGTCTTTGGTGTGCACATACTGGCTGGGAAGCACAACTTCTCATTCAGATGACAACTCAGTTCACTCCCTAGATTTTCAGTGCGAATGACTCCAGAAAGGTAGAAAGGTAGGGCAGCAGTAAGTTTTATTGATAATTACTAAGCGTAGGCAGGAGGCAAAGCCAGTCTGTGTCTGGACAACTTACCAACTGGAAGGTGACTGGAGGTTGTCATGGAGATCTGGGCCCTGCAGAAAGTTTTACTGTCCAACAGATCTGCAGGAAACAAAAAAGGAGGAAAGGGAAAGGACATTGAGAGACCCTCCTGATGACACAATACCGAAGCAGAAGGGCCTTCCGAGTCCGAGAGTTAGTTACCTACTGTGCTACCATAGCTGGGCTCGTAGAGATAGCTCTCTTCTTTCCACGTGTTCATAAGGGAAGGATCTGCGAGGAATAGAGAATGGGGAAGGTCAGCAATTGTTATCTCTTGGTCGAAGAATTCCCATTCTCAGTGTCTGCTCATTCAAGAGGCAGAGGAGTAAGAGTCTACTCCAGCTATGTGTGTCTTTATAACAGCGCCAGCCCATTTTTCTCCCAGCTCCATGAGGCTAGCTTTGTTATGGGTCTAACCTTGTGATACACACGCATTTTCTTCCCAGGTCCTTTCATCTAGAATTGCTCCAACCTTGCTTGACCTCACTTGACCTCACTCCTACCACATAATCACCAGAATAATTTTACTTTGGAGTGGAGGGAAGGCTTTGCAAGAGATAAAGGCAAGTATAATAAGGGATTAATGAGCATTCTTCTTTCTGGGGGTCATAGGGAACTGGTGGCGTTTCTTTCAGAGAAAAACCAGGCCAGTTTTCTTACAATTCCTTCACTACTGAATTTCAGAGACTAGCTACTCTTAAGATGAGTGATAGCCGCTGCTGCCTGGGTTTTCTCCAAGCAAGGTAAGGGGTAATATAAATTCTCAAAACTCCGGAGAAGGTGGAAAATGTTACCAAATCACAGGGGGTTTTTTTATGGGTGGGTTTTTGTATCTCTAGGAGAAGCAGAAAATGGCCCCCTCACTCCCAGTTTCTTCTCCTGTATGCTATGTCTCAAGAGTTAGTTGGAGTGAGACACACTCTTCAGATTGCGGATTAGAAGGGAACTCCCTTCCACCTGCCCCAAGTAAGCCCAACTCCCACACAATGACAGATCCAGGCCAGTCTCCAACATAAGCAATTGCTCTGCCGGCTGGCTAAGAGCTTGACACTCTTAACTTGTCCCTGGCATCAAACTCTTAGCCCCCAATCTGGGCTGCTTTGACTTCCCTAATACCCAAGTTCCACATGTAAGGACCAGGATGGCAAGCCACTGGCGGAGCTGTGTTTTGTTTTTATAGCATAAATGGTATCAATCCTGACTCACTGGCTAAGCCCTCCTGTTTACGACATGGGGATTTAGCTGGTATTTGAACTCACAGCTACGTGTTTGGGCATCCTAAGCCCAATCTCTTGGGGTTACACCCTCTGTCCTTGTTGGGTCACCTTGTACATCTGTTGTTGTCTCTAAAAACAACTTCCAAAGAGACTTGGGGGCGTTGGCCCCTCTGTGAGCCTCCTCTCCCCCTCTTCCCAGGGTGGACCTTCTCCACCCTTAAGCTCAACTTTTCTGAACCAGCAACACAAGAATGTCCGGATGGTCAAGAAGGATTATCATCTTCTGTGGGGCCTCTCCAATATCACCCTGGCCCCTGCAGCAGGGTTATATGTAAGGCCAAGGCCATTCTCTAAGCTAAAACCTGATTTGTCTCCAGAGCTTGGGCAGACCTACAAAACACAGACCATCCGAGTTAAAGGACAGGCCTAGGGAGGCCGAGTTAATATGCTTGGCAGCTATTTTTTTCTTTAATAATGGTAGACCAGGGCCCTTATAAAAGATTAAATAACTACACGAGCTAATTTTGGTGCCAAGTGATTCAAACCACCCCAGGTCAAATCGTGTCCTTGGTGACTATCGCACAACCCTCGGGGAGACCTGAGGCAAGCTTTGCCAGCCCACGTGGCCTATAATCTACCTGATGTGGACACAGGGAGTGACTCAGGAGCAGTGCCACCTGCGTAATTTTTTTTGTGCCCGTGAAGTTTAGGGGACAGAGGAAAGAGCACAAAAAATGAATGCAGACATTATGATAGTGTAGACTTTGCTCAGCGCTCAGGATAAGATCTTTCAAGTAGAAATATCCTCGCGAGGACTGGGCTCTACAGTCACCTTCAACGTCCCCAGGGAAGCTCACTAGGTCCCAGAGACTATGCTAGCTACAATATCAAGACAGCATCTCCCTCCTTATGAAGCTCACTCCCATGGAGAGACACGTAACAAAGACTTCTTTGTTCCCTTGCTTTTCTGAACGCAATCTCACTTTTGCTGAGAAGAAAGCCCACCTTAACGTCTGTATTTATGCAGTGACTGGCCTTGGATCTGGATGGTACTGTGACCAGGGGAAGGATGCCTCAGCACCCATCCATACATTAGACATAATTGGTGGTCATTGGTCCCAAGGGCAAGGAAGAGGCCCCTTGGAGGCAGGGGAGTCACCTCCGCGGATTCCCTGCCACCTCTTCGCCCATGCTCCCCTCTTCTCCCTCCTCTTTTTCTCCCCAGGGCTTTGCCTGGTCAAGTTGGCTCCCTCCACCCCTCCGCACTCACCTGGTTGTTCAGTCTTGACAATGACATTGTGTGTGGACTGGAAAAGGTCACTGCTGCACTGGCCTGTGAAGGACAGATGGAAAAGTCAAAAAGCCCAGACAGAGTCAAAACTTGACAAGTTAATAAGAACATAAGGCTTCTTTGAAGAGTGTCTGCCATCTTGCTGCCTTTCCTGGTTTGTCAGTGGGAGTCTCCCTGCCAGCCTCAGCACGCCTGAGTCTGGGACCGTCTCTGTCCCCAGAGAACTCCTAGTCCTAGGCACCTGTATGAGTGGGATTAATTGGTGCTAGAAGTAAAGAATGGCATAAACAAGAATGTCATCTTCTCCAATACTAGAAGCGGCAAGACTTTGCTATTCTAGTCTGTCTCCTCCTCGGTAAAGTCAGGGGATTAAACTGGATAGAGTTACTTACGTGACCTCTGAGATGCTCACACTCAGATATCACATGAAATGAAAGTAAAAACACACAGAAAGGCATTTTACCTTCACCAGCACTCAAGACTTTGATCTTAAACTCAATCAACCCCACCTTTATTAGATTCGTTTATGAGTCACATCTGCATAAAATACCAGGAGTTTTCTTTCCTTTGCCTATGCCTTCAGCCCTCACACATGCAGTGCTTGCCATATAACCTCCTATGATACCAGTAGTTCATACTTCTGACCTTTAGTTTTCCCATCTTCAAAATGGGTACAATATTTTGCCATAAGGGACATTTGATGAATCAATTCACAGTACAAATAAAGGCGCAATAAATGCAAACTAGTGGACTCTGTGTGGAAACGGAAACAAGGCCAGAGTGAAACGCCTACCTTTTGGCACTTAGAGGCAAGAACGGTACGACCAAACAATTCGTGGAAGGTCAAAGATGGCCACCACACCTCCAAAGCCTCCCTGCCTCAGTCGTCTGTCAGAGCAAAGCTTCACGGGAGTGCAGTAATTAGAGTGGCAGTTTTAATTCTTCACCTATAAGTCTGCTCTTTGCAAAGATTCCTGAAGGTTATTTAAATAATAGAGCCTTGTTTTGTGTGATTCCAATAAGAAAAAAATGAGTAACCACCACCGTGAGGTGAATGGGAAGAAGGGAATGCCAGAGTGCCAGATGAGGACATCCATGGCTGCCAGAAATATTGCCAGACTCCCCGCTGATGGCAGCTGTCCTCACGGCTCTAGAGCTCACGTTTACTGAGCCCTGGTCACTTGTCAGACATAGGCTCTACTGAGAGATAAATTCACTTTACAGTGGGTCAGCTTGCTCTCTCTCTCTCTCTCTCTCTCTCTCTCTCTCTCTCTCTCTTTCTGTGTGTGTATGTGTGTGTGTGTGTACTATGTCACCATGAACAGTTTGCAAAGTGGCCTCCTGTGTGTGAGATGAGAAACCCGAGGAAAGAAACATGATGTTTTAGGAACTATTCTGTCTTCAGAAGTATTTTCAGTATAGTTCTATTTTTAAATATTTATTAATTATGTGTGTCCTCATGTGTGTGCCTCTGTGTGTAAGTATGTGCACATAAGCACAGGTGCAGCGTGGATTGTCGTAAGTGTTGGATCCCCTGAAACAAGGTTTATAGGAGATTGTTCAGTCTCTGATGTGGGTGCGGGGAACCAATGCAGCCCCTGCAAGAGCAGTGCGTGCTCTTCACTGCTGATCCACCTTTCCAGCCCTAGCAAGGGGGAGTGGGGTCAGCCTTCTCCCATCCAGATGCACGAATCTAGTTACACTCGCCTTCTTAAATACCCTCTACTCCCATTTTAAGAATGTGGGTCTGGGTTGGGTGCGCTGGTACATTCCTGTAACCCTAGATCTTGGATGGCTAAGGAAAGAGGATTCTGAGTTCAGGGTCACCCCAGTGACATAGAGAGTTCAGGGGCAGCTCTAGAACCACGTAGTCCCACTAATCTCAGGATAACTGGACCAAAATTTTTAAAATTAAGATCAAAAGATTCTAGGTCAATAAGTTTTTCTTCTTCTTTAAAATTACTGATGATCTTTAACAAGTAAATGAACAACTGAGAATTACGTTCTTAGACTCTGTTAGAAAATGAAAAGAGTTGGAGAGATGGCTCAGTGCCTAAGGGTGAGCCATCTTGCAGAACTTGGCAGAGGACCCAGGTTCAGTCCCTAGCATCCACATGGTGACTCATAACCATCCATAACTCCACTTCCAGAGGACTCAGCACCCTCTTCTGAGCATTCTGTGGACACCGGGCACACATGTGGTGTAGATACATACATGCACAGGCAAAATAAATAAACAGTCAAATGAAATAAAATACATAGGAATAATTTTTTTCATGTAAAGGAAAAGCCTGTCTTACTATGAAGAGTATTCTGTGGACACGTGGACAGTTTTGTCTCTCTGCAAATGAAAGCGGCCACAGAGGAGTTCCATCACTGTTTCTGAGGGGTTAGACACACTGTGCTAGGCTCTGCTCCTCTCCTCTCCTCTCCTCTCCTCTCCTCTCCTCTCCTCTCCTCTCCTCTCCTCTCCTCTCGCTGCTCTTCCCTGTCCTGGGAACCAGTAAGCTGGTGTGTCGCTTCTACAGGGAGCCCAGCCAGCAGTGGAGCCCCTGTGCTTCCCAGCACCACTCACCATTCCACTTGAGATGCTGCAAGTTGTTGTAGAGCAGCTGCCCAGCATTGCCTGCTGCCCTCGTGAACTCCTGCAGGCTCATGCTGCACAGGTGTTCTCCGCTGATGTCAAACTCCTGGAAAGGGATGCAGCTGGCGTCCAGCTGGTTGGTGTCCAGGAGATGCTGCAGCCATTCCCACACCTGGTATTTGGTCCAGTACTGAGGGTGGATTTCATGCCACTGGCCTCCAAAAAAGCCACTGGAAACTGCAAAATAGAACATGGCCCTGTGAATGGCCCCTGCTTGTTCCTGGGCAGTCTCAGACACAAGAGGCACGACTGTGTGATAATATAATGCAGACCAGAACCAGAGGCTCCATCCTACGAACATCACCGTGGGGACTGAATACAGAATGTGCTCTGCATAGCAGCTTCCTTGCCCGTGGGGGCGTTTTACCCAGTAGTGGCAGGGCATCTTCATGTTCTTCCCAATGCGACAGCAAATACTAGATAATGCATGATACCTGAAGTTCCCTGAGCTTGCTCCCCACCCCACCTACAAACAAGTATCAAAGTAAAAGAGTTGGCTATAATTTCATCTACTTTCTAGCTGATTGTACATATGCAAATACATTCACCTTGATAGAACATCTCATGAATACCAAAATCCTAACATCCCTTATGGAACATTTCATATTCGTATATATAACCTGCACATTTCCCCATATTTTCAATTATCTCTAGATTAACTACAATCCCCACAACAATGTAAATGCTGTGTAAATAGTTAGTGATAGATTGTTTGGAAAATAATGACAAGAGAAAGCTTTGTATTTACTCAGAACAGATGCATCGTATGTGTGTGTATGTGTGATGTGTGTGTATATGTTTGTGTACATGCAGGTGCATGCACATGTGTGTTGAGTGGGTGGATAAAGGCCAGAAGTCAATGTCAGTATAGTTTTCCATCCCATCTCACTGATATGGATAGATTGGCTGGCCAGGGAGATGCAGGGATCTACCTGTCTTTGACTTTCCAGTGCAGAAGTTACAGATGCAACCCACCACACCTGCCTGGCTCTCACACATGTACTGGGGTCTGGAATCACAGGTGTGATCACCACACCTGCCTGGTTCTCACACATGTACTGGGGTCTGGAGTTACAGGTGTGATCACCACACCTGCCTGGTTCTCACACATGTACTTGGGTCTGGAGTTACAGGTGTGATCACCACACCTGCCTGGTTCTCACACATGTACTTGGGTCTGGAGTTACAGGTGTGATCACCACACCTGCCTGGTTCTCACACATGTACTGGGGTCTGGAGTTACAGGTGTGATCACCACACCTGCCTGGCTCTCACACATGTACTTGGGTCTGGAGTTACAAGTGTGATCACCACACCTGCCTGGCTCTCACATATGTCCTGGGGTTTGGAGTTACAGGTGTGATCACCACACCTGCCTGGTTCTCACACATGTCCTGGGGTCTGGAGTTACAGGTGTGATCACCACACCTGCCTGGTTCTCACACATGTACTGGGGTCTGGAGCTACAGGTGTGATCACCACACCTGCCTGGCTCTCACACATGTACTGGGGTCTGGAGTTACAAGTGTGATCACCACACCTGCCTGGCTCTCACACATGTACTGGGATCTGCAGTTACAGGTGTGATCACCACACCTGCCTGGTTCTCACATATGTCCTGGGGTCTGGAGTTACAGGTGTGATCACCACACCTGCCTGGTTCTCACACATGTACTGGGGTCTGGAGTTACAAGTGTGATCACCACACCTGCCTGGCTCTCACATATGTCCTGGGGTCTGGAGTTACAGGTGTGATCACCACACCTGCCTGGTTCTCACACATGTACTGGGGTCTGGAGTTACAAGTGTGATCACCACACCTGCCTGGTTCTCACACATGTACTGGGGTCTGGAGCTACAGGTGTGATCACCACACCTGCCTGGCTTTCACACATGTTCTGGGGTCTGAACCCAGACACTTGTGTTTTCCAGCATGGGCTTTAGCCAGGGGCCATCTCTCTAGCCCCAAGACGCATTTCTTAAATTTGGAGTTGGTTGAGTCTTTGGTGTGGAACCCTGGGGATCAGAGGGCTGATCATAGTTCTGTCTCCCACTTCTTTTTTTCCCCTCTTACACACACAGTAAGACAGAGAGAGGCAGAGATTTAGAGACAAAAAGCTGAGATTCATCAAATACAGACTATTTTCCACAAAATATGGGGCCTTAAATTAAGCTTCCCTTTCTTGATTGATGGCTTTGCTCTTACCTGGGTGATACATCTCTTGTTCCAATGCCCCTTTTCTGCTCAGGTCCCTTCACAAGCTCCCTACTATTCCCTAGACTAAGACATGAAATGCAACGCCAGGCACTGAAGCACTTGGCCAACTGCTTTTGAAGTGGCTAGTGTCCTCTGTGTTTTTTCGGGTTGGTCCCCAGGCCCCTTTCTGTCCCATCATTTGCTGCTGTTTAGCCTCTAGCTGAATTCAGAGCTGCAGTTCCCCCAACTCACTTTGAGAACTGAACTTCCAGGAATCATGCTTAGGATTTCTCTCAACGGCACCTGTTATGTTCTGCTTATCTCTATAGGCTCCTAAGTTCTGGCTTATTGTCCTTTGCAAAGTGTATGCTCAAGGTCACAGACCTTCTGTCTTACTCATCTTCATATATCCATAAAACCTCTTTTGGAGCCGTGGTGGAAGCTCATTACCTAGTCACTGTGATTCAGTTTAGCTGAAGAACAAATAATGCAGGATATAGTTGTACTGTGAGGTGAACTGGATGATGATGTAGAGTACATTCTGGTGGCTAATTGCTGAGCATGTTATATGTTAATAGTCTGTGTACTTGGCTGCCTTGTGCTCACTTACGAGAACTTCAGAGAACCGACCCCAAGGCATGGGAACTAGAGACGAGAGCACCAGCCTCTAGGGCTGTGGTGCAAACTGAAGGCCCTCAAGGTCTTCTGAAAACAGAGATAAAGGGGAAGAGAGCCCTCTTCCAAGAAAGATAAATGGCAAAGTCAAAGGCAGACACCTTGTAACCCAGCAAGCCCAAGCCGGGCAATGTAACTGAACTTGACACAAACTCAAGATCTGGACCATTGTGGCATGGCTTTTTTTGGGAAGATGTAAGCAGGTGTCTGCTCACTGAAGATAGGACACCACCAGAGACCAAAGACTCAATACCAAGTCTAGCTGGGTGAGTTGTTGAGTTTAATTTCAGGTTACTTATAGGAGCATGGGTGAGGGGTTTATCATAGAAGTGTTGGTGACCCTAAACAGTACCACCAAAGGAGTCTCCTCCAGCCTGCAATTGTTCACTGTTTCTGTATCTTCAGAGAGGGTTGGAACCTTGAGTACTGTGGAGGGAGGAGCCTTGCTTACTGTGGAGGGAGGAGCCTTGCTTACTGTGGAGGGAGGAACCTTGTGGACTGTGTTGGTTTTCCCTCCACAAAGCAATGTTAGTGGATCCCATCATATGTGGATCTCCTAAGAGTGGTCCCAGTTACTCCAATTTCCAGAAGCCACAGCTGAGCCATAATCGGGGGACAGCATTCTATGAGGAAATGTATTTACAAGGAAAATACCTCTAACTATCCCTTTAAAATCATGCTGGCTGAAGTATTTAAAACTAAACCACAATCCCAGAGAACTTAGACCACAATAAGGACACTAAAAGAGACTTACATAGATATAATCTACATGGGAAGTAGAAAGTAGAAAAAGACAAGATCTCCTGAGTAAATTTGGAGCATGGGGACCTTGGGGAGGGTTAAAGGGAGCAGGGGAGGGGCAGGGTGGAGAGCAGAGAAAAATGTAGAGCTCAATAAATATCAATAAAAAAAGAAAAAACAAAAAACTTATCGCCCCCCCCCCCCAAAAAATACAAACAACAACAACAAAACTTCAGTGTGACTGCAATCACTAATCGCTAGGGACTACTGCCTAAATGCAGACCCCAGTCCAGGAGGTCTGGGCTAAGGCCTGAATTTCTGCGTTCCTAGCAAGCTTTGTCATGCTGCTGCTGCTGCTGCTGCTGCTGCTGCTGCTGCTGCTGCTGCTGCTGCTGCTGCTGGACTATGGAGTGACAGGGACATTCAGGACTCTCCATTCCCATAATGCCTCAGAGCCAACCCTCTATCTTACCAAAGGAGGGATAGGAAGAGGGAGGGGGGAGGGTCTTAGGCAATCTCACTTTTTATCCCCCTTTAGAATCTAGCCTTGCTTCCAGACCTCACAATCAAGAAGAGGCAGGAAGGCTAGGGGACGGTCTTTGCTGTCTGCGGCTCACCTGGTGAGTTTCACAGCTGAGCAGTGCATTCCCCTAGCCCCTCCTACATGGGAGAGTGGAGTGGTCCAAAACTTGAGGTCTATAGAAACCCTCCCCCAATACAGACGCTTCCGGTCCTTGTTACCATTTTTTTTTAATCATTGTATCTCACACACGACGTTGACTGAGCATGAGAACTAGGTAGGTTTCGGCTCTGTAACAAGTAACCTGTGGGTTTGTCGTGAGCTCAGTGGCAGACCGAGGGCCTTCTCCCCCTGCACCTAGGAGAGCAGAGCCAGAAACTTGCTTGAAGTTGGCTGGAGAAAGGCGCCTCCCTCATCAGGCAGAGTCAACAGAGTCCCTCAGTGTCAGGGAAACTGAAAAGCCAGCGGGTTCTGTTCTCTGCCAGGCAGCTGCGGTCCCCCTCCCCTGCAGTCCTTATGAAGATCAGTGTCTTCTTGACACCTCCCTCCCTCCCGAGCTAAAGAAATAAAAGTGACTTCTGAATTCTGCTCCCTGCTCAGTCCACTGCTCCACTTTTCTCCAAAGCAAATAGTAGAGCCGATGCCTGGGACGCGCATGCCAAGACTTCCAGCTCTCTTTGGAAGATTGTTTTTTTTCTAGGCCTTCACGGCAAGTTCAAGGTCTGTCACAGAATATGCAACTGTCCAGAAAGGGCAGCAGTTTTAGGAGACAAGTGATTTAAAACAGGAAGGCCACCTGTTTCAAACTTCCTGCCATGCTTGGCTGGGATTCCAAAGTAAAAGAGGAGTGCCACGTGGACCCGCCACTCGGCAGAGAATGTCACCCTGCCATTTATGCTCACCCCTACTTCTCAATCTGGTCTCTAACAGGACACATCTGTGTGTCAAGGTAAACACGGGCAGCAGCGGCTGGGGGAAGTGGGGGGGGGTAATTGGCAGCAGGTGGGGGTGCACTGAGCTTTCTAAACCAGCACTGTTGGACACCCAGCAGCCTGGCTGTGCTGAGTGCCTTCACTACCAGGCATGGAGCCCCTGGTTCAGTTTTCCTGGGAGCCACAGGCTGGATCACCAACCATTGCATACCACGAGGTCCTCCCGCTTGGGGTCTCTATGTTCCAAAGTAACGCAGTGAAAGCTGGCACTGGGGTTCCCTGACAAATCTCGCTTCCTTAAACTGGGATGTGATGGGAAATAAGCTACGAAGTTTAAACTATTATAACCCCTTTTTCTTTAACCCTTGTGTGTGTGGATGTGTGGGTGTGGTGTGGTGTGTGTTAAACGCATGTGTGTACTCATGTATGCGCTCACCTTCTTGATTCTATCTTGATATCCTAATGAAACACTATCGAAAACTTCAACAATATGTCTCCCTTCCCTTGGGACATCTCATCTACCACCATTAGTGCCAACCCCAAATCTTTGCATTTTGGAAGGAGGCAGTGATCTTTCTCAAATGGTCTCTGCCATAGGGGCCTGGAGGACTACAGGGTAAACAGCATTGAAAGTTTTCTCATATAAGAAAGTACAAATCAGTGATAAAGTCTGTGATAAACAACACACTGAATTACCTGGAGAAAGGAGGGAAAGAAAGTGAGATTTGTCCCTAGCCTCCATGTCATCACTGAGTAAAACCTCTACTTTTCAAGCATTAAGTTGGAAAAGAAGTCAGACCAGGAGACGATAGACATGGGCAGTGCCACCAGCAGCCAACAGCTGCAGGACCCTTACCATTGCATGTGGAGTAGCTGTCCGTCCAGGCTGCCTGCTGGTGGAGAAGGTTGTTGGCTGGGTTGAGATTCATTACACCACTTCCTTCCAGAATCATGATCTGCAAGGGATCAAACAGTCATCTAATCAGCGCCCCTTAGACACTCGCTGGCGAGTCCACAACATGGAGTTCATTAAGAAAGGAAGACAGAAAGAGAGGGAGGAAGGAACGTGTCCTTCCACCCATTGCCACAGCCCTTTCAGTAAAAGCAAAACTCATGGCAATTAAAATTTTCCAGGTTCAATTTTCATATGCATGAGGCAAGTTTTTATAGCCACCCATTCATAAATGAATAATCTCTGATCAGAAACGAAGCAGGGAAGAAAACACAATACCTGCTCACAGGGCAAGCCTGGCCAGTGTCCAAGCGCTTCACAAAAGTGAAAATGCCAGAGGGATCGTATGTGAAGTAGAGTCGCGATCAGGGAAATCTCAGGCTCAGTCCCTATGTCAGACGCCCCTGTGAGTCCTCACATAAGTGGCCCCAAGCTTGGGGACACAGGAAGACTTCCTCACTGTTGAGTCCTCTTTGAAGCTCATCATTTCTTAGTAAAACTTCTTTTTTTGACTTTCTTTCTTTCTTCCTTTCTTTTTTGAGACAAGGTTTCTCTGTGTAACAGCCCCCAGCTATTCTAGAACTCACTCTATAGACCAAACTGGCCTCAAGCCCACAGAGATCCTCCTGCCTCTGCCTCTGCCTCTGCCTCCCAAGTGCTGGGATTAAAGGCCTTAGGGCTTTTTAAGCCTTTGGCTTTGGGCTACGATTAGGAATCCTTTGATTTCTGTGACAGACACTTCATCTTCTTGGTACAGAAAACTAAGATTTTATGTTCTGCTAAAAAGTTATGTCTAGTTTTTCTTCTGATGGAGACCTGGAAAATTCAACAGGCCTTGAAGCCATCCTCAAGGTGACTTCCTCAGATTCTGGAACGTTGGAACAATGTAACAATTTTACATCTCAGAAAAATTCCCTGGCGTTTATGATGTGTCTGCCCCCAAACTGGATACCCTCCACCCTACAGGTCAGAGTCTGGGAGTGTGTGCAATCATCAAAGCAAGAGCAGGGGTTTTTTCTGAACATAGTGAGGCTCTAAAAGTCTCTCATTCTTCACACTTGATCTTAGCCAAAAGGCCCGAGAAGCAATGCCCCTGTTCTTTATAAAATGGTGATGTATGGAAAACTACAGATCATGGTGCTTTTTTGTCCTATTTGAAGGAATTTTGCATTCTCAGGTGTCATCCATGCCAACAGATTGGAATGGTCCCCTCAGAGTAATTCCATACACACACACACCTAACTGAGCTTCAACTCCTCTGGTAGGTTCAATGTAGAACCTGAGAGAAAAGATATATAATCTTGGGAAAGTATATAATGTATTCATAATTCATATATGCAGCAAATATTTATCACCCTGATGAAGGGCTAGGTGCTGTCTACAGGTTCTGAGAACAGAGCAGCACCTGGAGGCTCAGCTGGGCTAGACACCACTTGTAATTGTTGACCTCAACATCACTGCTGCCGGGTGAACATGGAGGCTTGCACCCAGCATGAGTGCAAAGGGAAGAAAGAAAGGCGGAGTAGAAATGACAGGCAATCAAGTCAGGGAAGGGAGGCTGTGGAGGGCGCACAGGAGAGCTGGGATTCCTGCAAGCTCTCCTACTCGTAGCTCACATGGGTTATCAACATCCCTTGGCCCTCCGTTCCCCCGGGTGAAAATGCAGACGATCACATCTCGCCTGGACACTAAAGACAAACATATTCCTATACTAGCAGCACTCGGCACACGTCTAACAATTAAGGGGGAAATGCTACCTCTGTGGATAAGCTGTACTCCAAACAACCCCGGGCCTCCATTTCTCAGTCTGAAAAGTTAAACGATTCTTGAGCCCCCTTCTAGCAAACTTTTTTCTTCTCACCTTGAGGGAAGAAAAACTAACCAGGCCAAACCTTCCTTTCACACAGTAATGGAGGCATTTTCACATCGGGCTTTTTAAAACAATCCCCCTAAGCTAATTCATCCATGGGGGGACTTGGCAGCTGGGGAGGGACAGGGCCCGGCCCTGGCTTATGTTTGCTCAAGGCTGGGTTTCTTCCTTGGCAGCATTTGCTCACCCACAAGCAGTGGAAAGGTTATTGTTTAACCCCAAGAGGACTGAAACTCAGGGCCCAGCCCTGCTGGAGAGAGCAGTCCTGCAGGCTCAGGCCTCCCAAGAACTTGCCTGCAGGGCTGCTTCAAAGTGGGTGTGCTGGTGGGGATGAGACCCGCAGGATCCAGGAGGAGCCTCCCTTTTAGCCAGGTCAGGGTTTTGTTCTCCACCTCCTAAGAAAAGGCATAGGTATGAAGCAGACCGTTTGAGGGCTGCCCCCCTCTTCTGAGTTGCGGAAGGAAATGAAACTCTAGTTCCTGGTTCACTGTAGATGATGCGAAGTTCTGTATCTGTCTGGCCCCAGATTTCCTGAGCCTCACTTTCTCCACTGCAAAATGGGTATATCGTGAAACTCAAAGCCTGAGAAGAATCGCTTGGCACTAAATATGTCAAGATCTTCAGAGGTCCTAATAAGAGCTGTCGCTAAGAAGCGGCTCTGACGGTGAGATACTTGTCCCTTTTGCAGGGGACTCGGGTTCAGGTCCCACCCACATGGTAGATCACAATCATCCCTAATTCCAGACCCAGGGAATGTGATGTCCTCATCTTCTTGGGCACCAGACACACACAGGTGCACATACCTGCATGTAGGCAGAACACTCATACACATAAAACAAGCAAAATGAATAAATCTAAAAATAGTTTTAATAATAAGAAGGATAAAAACATTTAAAACAGGAATTTGGTAGGTGTCTCAGCCAGCGCTCAGGTTCTAGCTGGGCAAGTGTCATTTCTTAACGCAACCTCCTGGAAACTTTCCTAATTATTCCCAACTCGCAGAGAAGCCTTTAGGATGTCAGTGTCTCAGCTGTCCTGTGACCTCCTACCCTGTACCCCCTCCCAAGCCCTCCACCCTGCCAGCACCCTCTTTCCAGGGGAAAGCAGGCAGCATAGTGAGGGGCCCTTTTTACAGGGCCCATTAAATGGTTACCACCCATAAAAGAGTTTATGTGGCTTAACCCTTAGTGAGTCAGAGTTCACGGGAGCTCCCCCAGGCTTCTAAGTATAGCTGGCCCTGGACCCTGACAGCAGCTGCAGGGAGCCGCAGGAGGCACCTTGGGTGGACTGGGTTAGCCAAGGCCTTTGGACCAGCCTACTACTCCCAGCTTTTCAAATAGAAAATGCAGACATTTGTCCTCCAACAGACTCCCGGGACGGTTGAGGAGATCAAATGAGATAATGGATAATAAATGTGCCTTGGGAACTATAAAAAAGTCCTATTATGACCAACGTACCCACACCCCCGTATACTAATATAGACTCTCCGTGCTGTACACTGGTTGCTTTATGGGGTGTAAAGAGCTACCCTTTTAATTAAAAGGAGGAGCAAGGAATATTTAGGACTTGTTTACAGCTCCCTACTTAACCTTCAGCAAAGCTTTCCTTAAAAAAACAAGTCATGAGACGAGTCCAGCTAGAGCCTGCAGGACCCCAGGTAGGCTCCAGGCTCATTCCCCAGCTCTGTGACTTTGAGTCTGTTCCTCGTTCCCAGCCTGGGATGATGGGGGTGAGAGATGAGGGACTCTGACTAAGTGCAAGGAGAGCTGTCCTGGAGGATAGCACAGTGACTTTAGAAGTGTCCAGTGCAGTGCACGGCATGTCCACACCCCAATATAAAAGTAGCCTTTTCTTTCTTTACACATAGATGTCAGGGCATTGCCACAACACTCTTCACCTCTGCTGGGACTGGCTCTGCACCTCAGGGCTAAGAGCGGCATTCTATGCAATGTGTATGAAGCAAGCTGGAGAAAGGGCCCAGTTCTCTTCATCCTCAGCTTGAGGGATGCTGATGGTGCTGTCAGGGGTCATGGTGGAGGCACCAGGAACCAGATCCTCATCATGCCAGACAGTGGCTAATTGTAGCCTCTCAACATCCCTACAATCAAAACTTGGGGCTAAATAATTCTTTCTTGAAATTTCTAATTAAGGCCTAGTATTTGTGCATATCTTAGAGGGTGCAGTTTGGCAACTCATACGTATATACAATATAGGATCAATATTTTTTCATTTCTGGCATGTCATTTGCTTGTGTTTAGAATACTTCTGTCCCAAATGTTTTGAAATATTTATTGAATGATTGCAGACTGTGATTACACTATTGTTCTGGAAAACACTGGCACTAATTCTTCCTCTAATTGCATTTTGCTACCTATCACCACCTATCACCTTTTTACTGTACCCCCTCGCTCTCTATCTTCTTAGCCTCTAACATCCACTATTCTCTCTTCATCTATGAGATCATTATTTAACCTGCCACCAAGGAGTAGGAGTAAGTACGCAGTGTTTGTCTTTCCATGTCTGCCTTATCATTCACCATGATGCCCTCCAGTTCCATCCTCATTGCCACAAATAACAAGATTTTATTCACTGCATGGCTGAATATTAGTCTAGTGCATATATGTACCTCATTTCTTTACCCATTCATCTTTCAATGGTCCATATCTTGGGCACTCTCAATACTGATATAAGAAACATGGGAATTTAGGAAGAACTGGGAAATTCTTTGATGTGGAAGTTGCCACACACAGGTAAGGTATCCAGCAGGACCCATGGCTTCTACCCACTAGATCTCACATGCCAGAAGCTCTATCTATCTATCTATCTATCTATCTATCTATCTATCTATCTATCATCTATCTATCTATTTATCTATCTATCTATCTATCATCTATCTATCTCTCCTATGTGTCCCCTAGAGCAAAGTCACTCCTGGTTGAGAACTGTGGTTCAAACTAAAGCCTGTGGATGTGGCAGCTAGGGCTCTTCTGCTGGAATGGAACCTTGGGCTGGATCTAGACCTTTCTAATTTGCTCTTTCCTATCCTGAGAAGCAGGCGGTATCTCTCCTGGCTACATGGGCTCATTGAGGATTAAACACAACAGGGACAGGTGAGCTTACAGAACCAAGCCTGGCACACAAAGCCATTGCTAATCAGTGGTTGAGAATAAGCACCAGGTACCCTAGGCACAGCCTGGTTCTAGAGTACATTTAACTGGAGAGAAAAACATAAATTATGGCTTGGCCTATTAAAAACTATAGTATACCACAGTAAATTTTATTTCATACC